AAAGCAATCTGTATAATAGTACATACAGGTAGAACGCCATCCCACTTACCTACTTCGACGCCGTTGAGAACATTGATGATGCGTGCCAGAGGACATCCGGATCGCTGGTGACTTAGTTCTGATGGCAGAAAACAAGGAAGGGCTACACATGAAATAACGTTAATGGCAGCAAGAATAAGCTAAAAACGAAAGGCCTAAAACAAGTAAATAAAACGGAATTGCTAGTTAGTAGCATGGGAAAGACAAGGGCGAACACATCGGACAATAGTTGGAGAAGTTCTAAAGCAAGTGGAGGAGTTTGAGTACATTGATGCCATGGTGATGGTCGATTGGCCCGACCCTTAACATTAACAAAATGCCTGAAACATAATGCATTGCCCTACAGAGGAATTTTTCCTGTTGGGGACTGGGAGAAAATGCAATGAATTATTGATAATTAATTGCATTTTTTTTGTATTTGTGGGGGCGACGACGTACCCTAGCCCCCCCCCCCCCCCCCGCTGCGTACAGCCATGATTCAGTGGCTAAGCAATGGCCCCGTTACTGTGAGGCCCGTGAATGAAAACCGTGTCCATCATCTATATTAGTGCCCTTTTGTGAGGCATTAATCCTCATTACTGTCAGTTATGACTTAAGATATAGGTCCCCTAGTTGATTAGCATAGTAGCACCACACATGCTTTATCAGTCACGCAAAACAAACACTCGAAAATTGTTATTCAATAAAATCTGAGAATGTATGCTATTATTTAGATCTATTACGAATAAATAATTGTCATAATCATTCCATAAATTGGGAAAAAAAATAATTATTCCACCTTTATGACCAACATATGGGCTACTCCCTACTATAAGTAAACCAACTCGTGTAACTAGAAATTTTGCTACCGTGGTTGATAACATATTTACCAACTGTATTCACATGCATTTAAACTGTGGTATCATTTATTCAGATCTTTCGGATCATTTTCCAATATTTTGTATAAGTGACAATATATTTGTTCCTATTCATTCATTCTGTGGCAAATCAAGAGTAATCACCAAAGAAAAGATTTTGTTATTTAAGAATAAGCTACGATTGATTGACTGGTCTGTAATTTATGGTAGTACAGATGTCACTGTGTCATATGATCTATTTATTCATAAGCTTAGCTACCTTTATTTTGAACGTTTTCCCCTTACAAAGGTAAAACTGAAAAAACACGATAAACCTTGGATCACCCGTGGTATTTTAAAATCTATTTAGAGAAAGCAAAAGTTATATTGTCGTTATATGAAGAAGGGTGACAGTCGTACGTGAACAAAATACGTTGAATATAAGAACATATTGATTGATTGATTTTTATTCGACAAGCTTCCAATATACAACAATATACAATAATAACAGATCAAAAATAAGTCAGCTTGAACAGGATAACCCACGAAAGCTCGAGAGCTTATTTCCAGTGGGGTCCCTTACAGACATGTATACAATTAATAAATTAAAATAGTAATATTTACAGACAGATAAGAAAATTAAAAGAACTACTTATTAAAGATAATAATAACAACATTAAACTGATGATAGAAATGATATTAAGTACAAGAAGAAAAAGAAGAAGGAGAAGAAGAAAAAGAGGAGAAGGAAGAAGAGGAAAATAATGATGAATTTGTAGAATTTCTATAACGTACGAAAACATAAGTATATACAACATGAAAAAGTATGAACCGACAGAAGAATAACAATTTCAATCATATAACATGTCATTCACTTCTCTTCTCTGACTGTCAAGTATTAGGTATTCCTTTAATTTCCTCTTAAAATGATCATAGTTTCCTATTTCTTTTACACCATTGGGAAGGGAATTCCAATGTTTTATGGCATTGTAATAAAACGAATTTCCAATACTACCTACTCTTTCTGGTAAGTTAAAGTTGAATCGTCTATTTCTTGTATTATAATCATGTACGTCAGTAACAAGATCGAAGTTGGATCGAATATAATGATTCGCCCTAGTATGATATATTTTATGCACGTGATGCAATGCGAGTTGTTTTGATCTTTGGTCGACTTCAAGAAAACCAGCTTTAGAAAGTTCGCTATAGCCAACATGAGTTCTTGGACCAGAACAGTTGATAAATCTCACCATTTTGTTCTGTATAATCTTCAACTTCTTTTGATCTGACTTGTTTATGTTACTGTACCATGCAGGGTTAGCATAGTCAAATAAACATTGAATAAGAGCAAAACAGAGTGTACGTCTTGCTTTTAAATCCATACAACTTTGATATCTGTACAAAAATTTCAGACGAGAATTTGCTTTTTTTACAACTGATTCTACTAAAGATGAAAATGAAATTGCGCTAGCCAACTCAATGCCTAAATACTTCACAGACTCTTTTCTCTTGATTGCTTGATTATTGTGTGTCACTTTGAATTCAAATGACTTTTTAGAACTACTTTTAGAACAAAATAAAATGCTTTCTGTTTTTCCCAAGTGTAAAGAAAGCTTATTATCAGTCATCCAATCGACACACGTAGACAGCTGTTCACTGAGCTTTTCCTCAATATATTTAGGATCAGGATTTGAATAGAGTAGTACGCTGTCATCTGCGTACAATAATAGTTTGAAGTCTTTTATACAAATACACATATCATTTATATAACTTGAAAATAGAATTGGGCCTAAAATACTTCCCTGAGGAACACCGCATGTTATAGGCATTAGTTTGGAACGAATATCATGAATGGCCACTACTTGGTGCCGATTAGATAAGTAGGATCTGAACCAATCTAAACTTGCCTTATCAAAACCCATTAGTTGTAACTTCTTCAATAAGACGCAATGATTAACTGTATCAAAAGCTTTTTGCAGATCAAGGAGCACCATACCAACAAAGCGTCCTTGGGAAGTTTCTCTCCTCAAATAATCAGTCAAATGAATTAGACATGTTTCAGTCGAATAATCATGTCGAAAACCAGATTGAAATTCATAAATTATATCATTTTCTTTGAAGTATCTTTCAATTTGAACACAGACCGATTTTTCTAGAATCTTTGATGCTACGCTTAAAACACTAATAGGTCTATAGTTGCTAACATCAGTTTTATCTTTCTTTTTATAAAGTGGAGTCACTTTTGCTATTTTCATATCTTCTGGAAAAGTACTCGTCAAGATAGATAGGTTCATTAAGTAACTTAGAGGCTTAAATAAAACCTTCGCACCATCTTTTAGAAATTTAGCTGGAATCAAGTCTAACCCAGTACTTTTTGATACATTCAACTTACGTAACTCTTTGAAAACAAATTGTTCACTTATTGGTAATAACTCGAAGCTGTTTTCACGTACACCTTTTCTTTCGTAAAAGTCACGAATACAATCATTGTCTGCGCTGAAAAAGTCTTTGGAAGGGGGGAGTTTGTCTACTAATTTGGCAGCCACATTTGTGAAATGAGAATTGAATTCATCAGCGATGGCCATCTTATCATGACATAATTCCCCATCAATTTTAATGACAGATTCTTGTTCTTTTCGCTTCTTATTTTTCAATCCTAAGCTTTTTAGATTCTGCAAAAGTTTTTTCGAATCTTGTTTATTTTCTTCTATCTTGTTTTGTAAGTAATCGAGTTTAGCCTTTTTCACCTCTCTTTGGACCATATTTCTTAATACTCTGTATCTTTTATAGAGCTTCTCATCTTTTGCTCTTTTCCTCCATTTTTTGTATACTATATTTCTCTCTTGAATTAGGGAAAGAATATCTTTAGTCACCCAAGTTTCTGATCTTTGTTTTATTCTTATCCGTTTCAGTGGCGCTATCATATTCAAATTTGAGATAAAAACATGTTGAAATATTGACCATGCCTCATTTACATCTGTACAGTCAGTTATTCGTGACCAATCAACAACAGATAGTTGAAGATTGAAAGACTCTTCTGTATATTTTTTCATGGATCTGATATCATTAGTCCTGTGATGACCTATAGCCAGTCTAACATTTTTCCGTGTACAGAAAGTAAAATAATGGTCGCTAATACCTAGATCAATGACACCACTTTGACTTATTTTATTTTCTTTGGTACAACCAACATGATCCAATAGAGAAGAACATGTAGGTGTAACGCGTGTTGCCTCTTTAATGAGTTGACTAAACCCATGAAGACTCAACAAGTCAATATATTTTTTAGCCAGTGGCGATTTGCGAAGAAGACAAATATTCATGTCTCCTAAAAGAATTATTTCGTCATCCTTCTTTAATGTATCAAGAATATTGGACAATTTCTCGATAAACAAATTGTTTTTCGGAGGTCGATACAGAACACCAACAACAATTGGTTTTGATCTTGGTATAAGCAAATTTATCCACAGGGATTCCGTATCTCCAGTACTTATAGCATCCATAATATTAAATGCAATATCATTTCTGATATAGAAACATACACCACCTCCAGAGCCAGAGGATCGATCATGGCGTATGATTTTATATCCGTCTATTTCAATTTCTTCATCATTTATGGAATTGTTTAACCATGTTTCAGTGAAAGCAATAATAGACAGCCTTTTTCTTTTAAAAAGAATTCTAAGTTCCGATATCTTGTTTAGAATAGACCTCACATTAAGGTGTAAAAAATGAAGACCTTTAACTTTAAACTTTTCTTCAAATTCTTGATAAAGAGAAGTGTTTTCATCTCTGAGGTTTGGCTGAATTACTCTTGCTATCGCTTGCTTTTCAGGTGTAACGCGCGTTATCTTAAAATAGTTTTCTTTTAGTCTATCCTCGTTTTGGCTTTCTTTCTCTAAACAATCGTCGTTAAATAATGAGTCACAAAAAGATGGCAGACAACATGTTAAACAATTCCACTTCTCATCAGGGCATTCATAATATAACCTGCGGTACTCTGAAAAACTGATAGCTTGACAATTAGTGTGAAACCATTTTTTACAATAAGAACACAGAAGGCCGTGTTGATTACATTTGACTGGCTTATCACAGTTCCCACAAGGGAACTTATATTTTCGACCGTCAACTATAATTTTCGGATCATCACTAGATTTTGTCAAACTTTCACTTAATTCAATACCCTTCTTACAAATTGAAGATATTTCGCCCAGTCTTTCATGTCCACCTTGGATGGTCTGAAGGCTGGTTTCAGTCGTGACCTCTGTTTGACTGCACTGAAATCCAAAGATCTCCCAGAAACAGATTCGGCGTAGGACTTTACGGGGCTGCTTTTCTCCTCATCAGAATGAAGACTCTGGTTTTCTCGGTAGATGGCTTGATGCCGCCTTGCTCCAGGTTCACTGCCTGTAACTTGATCGGACGACCGTTGAGTCCAGCCATGGCCTCGTGTTGTCGGTTGGTCAGCACTGTTGATGAGGCGTTTCAGGTTGCCTGCCAAGATTCGTTGACCGGCTCTGTTGAGGTGAACGCCATCACGCCCGAGATGCTGCTCGCTGATATCATTGTTGATGATGAGGCCCCATCTGTTCTCGCTGGCTGCCAACTCCATCAGATAGTTGATCTCATCAACCCGCTTCTTGTCCGCTTCACTCTCCCCTCTACGATGGATGATCGTAGAGACTGAGACGTTAAACCCCTCGGCAGCAACAGACTTGCCGAGGTCTGTGATTTGGTGGCAAACTTCACCAGCACCCTCAGAGATGTTATTGGTGCCAGCGTGGATGATCAGTTCTCCCCCTGGCTTGAGAAACTCGCAAGGTGAAGAGGTGAATATGTCTCTCACTTTTGCACCGGGAAAAGAGACGCACCTCACATTCTTGCTGCGGGAGAGATGTCTTCCGTCGATGTGTTTTATCATGGAATCACCGACCACAACTACATCTCGTTTGTTGCGGATCACACTATGTCGGTGGCGGTATCCCTCTATGGGAAATTATGGGTATACGGGCCGCACGCATGTGCGTGCGTCGGGTTGCTTTGCCTGCCTGGTCGCACGTACGTACATATACATGCGAGCTTGTATATAAAGGGCTTTTGGCCCGTTGCCCGGGGCAGAATTACCAGTAACCAGATAACAGAAGTATAGACTACGCATCGGAGTGCACTACAAGCAACGGAGATCATCACAGCAACCAGCAAAGGACAGCATCGACGGATTCTGACATATAGTGACGACTCTGGTGAGTAGATTTTACTTTAGTGGCGCTGATATTTGTATTATTGAGTGTGTGACTTGATTCTTGTATTGTGTACGTTAGTTTGTAGTTGACATGTGCGTGCCGTATTTTGGCTTGTACATGTGTACGGCGTAATCACGGACAAGTTCGTGGATCCGCCGAGCTAGTATAACAGGTTAGTATTATTGCTTGTTATTTTTGCTTTTGATTGATTGGAGGTTATATTTTTAGGTTTTTTCCGTAGAGTAGTAGTTTAGGACCCGTTTTCTTAGCGATTTTTGTGTTATTGGGTGTGGCAAGGGACGCCACGTCGGCACGCCCTAGACGCTATTTTTGCATTCCTTCTATTGTGTACCGCACCCCATACCCTATGGTACCTTATTGTTATACTGGGTTGGAGTTTTTCGGGTGCGTACCTTGTATGAGTGATTGTTTGAGGCTGGGTTTATCCCTTCATTTACCTTAGCTTTGGCGTATTATCTTTGATATTTTTGATTGTTTGGGAGTGAAAGTATTTGCTTGGTGTGATTTGGGGTTCATTCACCTCTTATTGAAATTGTTTTTTCCACCCAATTTCGGAGTGCCGATTTTGTGTGAGTGGGGAGGGAGAGTGAACCACAGTGGTTATTGCATTGCTGCTGGAATTAAATCTTCGCTAATTTAATTGATCATCGCTAATTTGATTAATCATTTTTGAATTAGAGTTGCTTTCCTACAATTAATTAATCATTTTTGAATTAGAGTTGCCCTCTTACAATTAATCAGTTTGGAAGCAGAGTTGCCCTCTTACAATTTTAAGTAACGGGCTTCTCGCTCCGAATGATTTATTGGGTTCAATGATTGTAGGCAAGGGCATATAATTAAATATACTGTTAGGGTTTATATTTTATAAATCGTAGTTAAGTTACTGTAGTGAATACAAATATATATTTAAAAATACAAGTTTATCAAGCTGTTGAATTAGGTCTGAATGTTAACCGTGACATAGTGACCTAATCAACGGCTGTGAATATTGTGTTTGAATATATCGTATTTAAATTTATTGATAGGAAATTAATTTATTTATTAATCGTAGTGTAAGTTACTCCGCCAAAGATATATTGCGGGGACATACAAATATTTCTAAAGAATACAAATTCATGTGAGCGGTTGAATTTAGTCTGAGTGTCCACAACCAGGGACATATTATAGGGACTTTATCAGCGGCCTTGAATATTGTGTTTGAATATTTGGGTTTGAATTTGAATTATTTGAGGACAAGTCTCCTTCTTTGAATTGAATTCTGTACTTGAATGTTTGAATATTTGAGTGTGAATTTGGATTGAAATTATTTGGGTTTGTTTATCAGTAAAAGTCTCCGTTTGTAAATTAACATTCTGTATAACAGAATAGTAAATAATTGTTCGCCTGATTGAACAATTCTCTCGTGATATTTTAATAGTAAGTTAGTAGGGAATTGTTCGTTTGATTGAACAATTCTCGCGAAATATTTTAATAGTAAGTTAGTCAAGAATTGTTCGTTTGATTGAACAGTTCTTGCGCAATATCTTAATACTAAGTTAGTAAAGAATTGTTTGGTTGATTGAGCAATTCTTGTGCAATATTGTAATACTAAGTTAGTAAAGAATTGTTTGTTTGATTGAGCAATTCTTGTGCAATATTGTAATACTTAGTCATTTTTTTAAGGTTGATAGTCACGTAAAGTGTATACTGTTTCTCCCCCTCGCAGGTCGCGACAGGGCCATTCTAGGCCCCGCGACCAACATGAGGCTGTAGTTGAGTCGGATCGCAGAGGGAGTCGCTATGACTCCCCTCGATCGGATCGCCAAGGGAGTCGCCATCGCTCCCCTCGTTCAGGTCTCCGAGGGAGTCGCCATGATTCCCCTCGATCGGATCACGGAGGGAGTCGCCGCGATTCCCCTCGATCAGATCGCAGAGGGAGTCGCAGTGATTCCCCTCGATCAGATCGCCGAGGGAATCGCTATGATTCCCCTCGATCAGATTGCAGAGGGAGTCGTCATCACTCCCCTCGATCATATCGCCGAGGGAGTTGCAATGATTCACCTCGATTCAGCGAACGAGGGAGTCGCTATGATTCCCCTCTATCAGATCGCCGAGGGAATCGCTATGATTCCACTCGATCAGATTGCAGAGGGAGTCGTCATCACTCCCCTCGATCAGACGACAGAGGGAGTCGCTTTGATTCACCTCAAAACCGGAGGGGTGACCGGTATGATAATAGTAGGGAGCGAGAATATCGCTATTATGACCAGGATTCCCCTCGAAGTCACAGGAGTGACCGTAGTGAGTCAAGAGGCCAACGTCCTAGGTCTCCTTCCCCATATCGTAGATCCCCTCGTAGGTCGCATGATCTGCGTAGGCGGGATCAGAGAGGGGAGAGTAGCGAGGGTGTAGAATTCGAATCGCCACCCCATGTGAGGAGGACGATGCACCCACCTATTCGGGACTCACAGTCACAGTCCGATAAGGCTCCTACCATTAGGAAATCGAACTTGCCCCCAACCCCTCCGGCACAAAGCGGCTTGGAAAAGAGGGTTACTTCTCTGGAGGGCAAGATGGATAAGATGGAGGGCAAGATGGACTCGATAATTGAAGCGCTGAAGACGTCCCTTTCAGTGATAGGGCCCTTACAGACTTCAGTCCAGAGTCTGGTTGACAGCGTGAGAAAGTCGCAAGCTTCTCCCGCCCGCTTCAGGGGCAGAGCCTCTCCCGCCCGGGGGAATTTCTTACCGGGCCGGAATATGGCCTGCTACCAGTGCGGGAAATTAGGACATTTTAAAATAGAATGTCCCGAGAGAAGTCCCGGACTTAAGGTTTCCTTCGTCTCCGAGGACCCGGGAAACGACTCTGGATCAGCATTGGGGTTGGACAAGGGTGGACCAGTGTACAATAATTCGGTAGCATTTGGAAGGGATTCGCCTCCCCCGGAAACGGGGATTAATGGTGTTTCCTCTGATGCTACAACTAGTGTGAACCCACATCCCGTTTTGGGTTTGGACAAGGGTGTACCAGTGGACAATAATTCAGTAGCATTTGGAAGGGATTCGCCTCCCCCGGAAACGGGGATTCATGGTGTTTCCTCTGATGCTACGATTAATGATAACATCCACGAATCTAAGCAGATTTGTGGCGGCCAGGACAGCATCGGTAAAGTGGAAGTGCCGGGGGAAGTTCCCAACCCAATCTCTAGTAAGAAAGAGCTTCCTTCTCACTCCCCTTCCGCGGGTGCGACCCATGGGGCCAGGCCTCCAACGGAGCCAAGCCCATGGCTGACACCCCCCTGGCCACCGCCTACCGGTCAGAATCCCGACAACCCAAAACTGGACATGGACAGATGTATGCCGCAGTAAGTCACCATCCACTTTTAGTATAAACATAAAATTATGGATTGGTGACAAACCCATTCGGGCAGTAGTACACACGGCTGCCGAGGTATACTATCCTCGTCGCTAACTGGAATGATTGTGGGACCGGTTGATTTGATTTTGGGTGGCAGCAAATTCAGTGAACATGTTTGTGTTGCCCCAATCGATGATGACATGTTGTTAGAGGCAGACCTCCTGCGGAAACATCGTGCATACATCAATATACCGGATTCCTTATTAACCTTTCAGGGCGAGTGTATAGAAATGACCTGTGGCGAAGATGTGAATGAAAAGTATTCTTTGCGAAGTCAGTAACCATCCCCCCGATGGCGGTCAAACGGGTGCGATGCAATCTCGATTCATCGCGTACGAGTGACCAATTCATTGTGGAGCTGGATGTAGCCTTGACCGGGAATCACCCCAGCCGGCTTCAGCTGCTGGAGAAGTTTCCCTTGCCCCAGCTGGGGAGTAGGGGAGAGTCGTGGTGCTCTTCTTCTGAAGAGCCCTCCCGCTCCGGGAGGTATATGGGGAGGGGGCTTGGTGCTCTTCAGAGCCCACCCCTTCCGGAGGGTTTGGAGCTCTCGAGAGCCCACCCTTTTTAAGTTTGTTTACCCTCCCAATATCCGGCTCTATTTACAAGCTAAAGACTATTTGTTTTTTATCTTTCGCTTGTTTTTATAGTCGGGAGGAATATGGGAAATTATGGGTATACGGGCCGCACGCATGTGCGTGCGTCGGGTTGCTTTGCCTGCCTGGTCGCACGTACGTACATATACATGCGAGCTTGTATATAAAGGGCTTTTGGCCCGCTGCCCGGGGCAGAATTACCAGTAACCAGATAACAGAAGTATAGACTACGCATCGGAGTGCACTACAAGCAACGGAGATCATAACAGCAACCAGCAAAGGACAGCATCGACGGATTCTGACATATAGTGACGACTCTGGTGAGTAGATTTTACTTTACCTCTATCTGCTCATGGTATGGTGGTGAAGTAGAAGTAGTACTAGTAGGTGTTGACAAAGATCGGTCTGAGCTGTCATCAGTTGCGTCGTTGTCAACAGTTGCGTCGCTGTCATCAGTTGCGTCATCAGAGATAACTTCAGAATGGGTGATGTTGGTTTTGGAGAACAACTTCAGGTGCTTGGCCTTGTAGTCACGAAGTTGATCTTCAATTGGCATTGATACACTCTTGGCACTGTTGTCTGATTCCGTGATCTCGGATAGTATTTCAAACCGGTTATGCGTAGCAATTGTCGGGAAATATTTGGTGGTAGGCCTAGATACTTGTTGTTGTGCCCTCAGATTCCCTTGCTCCTTCTCCTTCTCCTTCTCCGTCTCCTTCTCCTTCTCCTTCTCCTTCTCCCTTGCACTACATCCTGACTTATGGATCCTGCTGAGTATCGTCGTAGAAGTAGAAGTAGAAGTATGCTGTTCGAATAGATTGTTGAACTTCTTCTCGATAGTATCTAGCCTACTATTCAAGCCTTTTATTTCACTCAGTACATTATGCAGTAGTTGTCGGCAGTCTGCGTCATCATTGAAGACATCATCTGGCTTTTCATGTTTATCTTCATCTACATCACCAGCGGCATTAGTGTTCCCTATTTCGTCTAGGCCTACTGCATTTTCTAGTCTTTCAAGAAGGATCGCCTTTACTCCGTTTGTATGCATACCTCTTTTCTGTAACTCAGCACGTAGTTGCTTCACGCGGAGTCCACGTAAATTTGTTGGTAAAGTTTCCATGGTTACGTTGCTGCGTTGGTATCTGCTGGTCCTTTGCGTAACTTAACTAGTATGGCGCAATATTTTTGCGCACAATTGTTTTGATGCTACGCAGAGTGTTCAAATTTGAAATATAAATTCGCTAAAAAACTGGATTAAAATTGACGAAAAACGAATATATCTCGGAAAATGTTCACATACCGTCGAAAAGAGTGAAATGTCCACAATCACAGGAAAATTTCCAAGACGTAGATGTATAACAGTCAAAAGAAAGTGCACTATAAACGCACAAAATATGGGAATTTACGGAGCACCACAAACACACGTCTGCCTCTGTCAGAGGCAAAAAACACACTTCATTCGCCGAAGCAAAAAGATGTATTATGAAAACCTATTTAAAAAATTGAGAGGTGATATGAAAAAAACCTGGTCTCAAATAAACAATTTATTAGGTAAAAGAAACAATACATTACCTTCTCACATGTATTACAATCAGGATAAGATACTTAGTAAAGCATCTATTGTTGAAGCATTTAATAGGTATTTTGTTAATATTGGAAAGATACCACAAGAAAAGATACCAAATTTTTCTTCTCACTTTCTGGATTATTTATCAAACCGTGTACCAAGTTCACTGTTCTTTAATCCGACTTCCAATACTTAAATAATCAATGTTCTCTCATCCATTAAAGAATCTGCTGCACCAGGTTCGGACTCTATTGCTGCACGTGTCATTAAAGGTAAAGACCAGTTATGGTCATGCGATTGCATTGTGAAAGAAACGTTGTGGAATCGATCAGAAAAGGTTTATCATCTAGCATCTAGCATCTGCAAGGTTCTGGAATCATCAAAATGATAAGAAATTTGGCCCATTCTTCGTAAAGTTACAAGCACTATACACAGAAAGATGTATATGGGACTACCCTATATCTCTCACAGACCATGAGAGAAACAAATTTACCAAATATATGAATAAGTAGGCGGTTTCCCGGCAAATTTTTTATCATCATGTATTAGTCAAAACATATTGTTTCACACGATTGATAATGAGAGCTTCCATTTCAATTTTTGAAATTGGGGCGTTTCCAATACTGGTCTTTACCTTTAAGGAATGCATTCACACAATTGTTGATCCACTTTGTTATATCTTCAATGAATCAATGTCACAAGGTATTGTCCCTGATAATCTCAAGACCGCTACGGTAATTCCAATTTACAAAAAAGGTGACAAACATGACATTGTTAATTACAGACCAATTGCTCTGTTAACTTTTTTTTCCAAAAATGTTAAAAAGGATAATCTACGACAGGCTGTATACATTTTTTGCACTAAACAATATTTTGATACCCAACAATTTGGATTTCGAAAGAATTTTTCTACTGATCTTGGCGTACTGATCTTGGTTAATACTATATCACATGAAATAGATGTTGGTAATTATTGCCTTAGTGTATTTATGGACCTGTCAAAAGCATTTGACACCATTGACCACCACATCTTGTCATTTTCAAGACTTATATGTGTATAGAGTTAATTGTGCCATTAATTTTCTTAATTGTAAATAATGGAAACCATTGTTAAAGAAGATGTAAACATAATGCTTAGAGATTGTGTATATGCTGATTGTGGTGCATTTGACCAGAATCTACAAGGACATTTCGATCTTTTGCATGTAAATGCCAAGAGTTTATGTAAGAATTATGATGAGATGTTACAATTGTTGTCTTGCTTGAAGCATGATTTTTCTGTGATAGGTGTCTCTGAAACTTGGTTTAAAACTCCAACTGATATCAATATGTTTCAGATACCTGGTTATTCTTTTGTTCACATATGTAGGGCAGACAAAAATAGCGGTGGGGCATGTCTGTACATTAAAGATGATTTGGAATTTAAATTCCGTTTTGATTTATCTGGATCCAATTCAGGGTATGAAATTGTTTTTGTTGAAATAACAAACCTCAGTAAAAAAGATTATTGTTGGATGTGTATATAGGGTTCCAAGCTATAATAGTGTATCCTTTGTGGAAAACATAGAACATCAGCTACAGATATTGAGTAGAGAAAACAAGGAAATATATTTAATGGGTGACTTCAACATCAATTTAATGAACTATGATACTGATCGTAGTGTTAAAGATTTTGTAGATTTCATGTACTCATTTGGATTATTTTCTCTCGTCACTAAACCTACCCGTATTACTGAAATTAGTGCAACATTGATTGACACTATTTTCACAAACTGCATTCAAAATGAGTTTAGCTCGGGTATAATATGTTCAGATATTTCAGATCATATGCCTATATTTTGTGTTAAAAAGGGTTCTGTGGTAACTTCTGTCAAGAGAGATGGACAAGTTATGAAGCGGTCAATAAATGATGAAATAATCTCAAGGTTCAAGCAACACTTAGCTGAAATTAATTGGCAGGCTCTGCCTTCACTGGAAGGCGTCAATGAGTCATATGAACATTTTCTACAAATATTTCTGGAATTATATAATTTATGTTTCCCATTAATCGAAGTATCGATAAAAAGTAAATGTAAAAAGCCATGGGTAACTCGTGGTTTATTGAAAACAATAAATCATAAACATAAGCTTTATGGTAGTTATGTCAAGAGACCAACAGCTGAGAATAAAAAGAAATATATCGATTATAAGAATGTCTTGGTTAATACTCTTCGTATAGCCAAGCAAAATTATTACAATGATTTGTTCCACAGTGTTAAAGGTGATATTAGGAAAACTTGGTCTCATATCAATGAATTGTTAGGTCGGTCAACTAGGCATTCACTCCCTCAAGAGATGGATTTTAATGGAGTACTTCTTTCTTCTGCCAAGGATAGATAAGGCTGAAAGTTTTAATAAATATTTCATTGGATTACCCATGAAAATTAGTGCAGACATTCCTCAAGTACCACAATCTTTTCAAGATTATATGAAACAGTGTGATGATAATGCGTCAATGTTTCTAAAACCAACTTCAAAATCTGAGATCATCGATATTGTGTTGTCTTTGAAACCATCTAAATCTAGTGGTTCTGATGATATTTCACCTAGGATTATAAAGGAGTGCATTCACCTTTTTATTGATCCCTTGTGTAAAATCATGAATATGTCTTTATCTCAGGGAGTTGTTCCTGATAAACTCAAGGTAGCTAAAGTGGTACCAGTGTATAAAAAATCTGACCTTAAAAACGTCATTAATTACAGGCCAATAGCATTGTTACCAATCTTTTCTAAAATTCTTGAGAAAATAATTTATAAACGCTTAAATGAGTTTCTATCTAAACAGAATATCTTGATTCCTCAGCAGTGTGGTTTCCGTAAGCACTTCTCCACACAAATGGGTGTGTTTAATTTAGTAAGTAATATCATAAAAGCTATTGATAGAGACAAGTATTGTTTGGGGATATTCTTAGATCTATCTAAGGCGTTTGACACTATTGACCATGGCATCCTCCTCAGGAAACCTGAGCATTATGGGATACGTGGTGTAGCATTGTCTTGGTTCCAAAGCTATTTGTTTGACAGGACACAATTTGTTGTAGTGAATGGTACTAATTCTCAACTTGCTTCTATTAAATATGGTGTACCTCAGGGTTCTGTCCTTGGTCCCCTGTTGTTTCTGATCTATATAAATGATATAATACACTCATCAACATTATTCTCATACTCACTTTTTGCTGATGATACCAGCTTGCTGTTGGCTGATAAGAAGGCTGAAGATTTATTACTAATTGCGAATCAAGAGATTCAGAAACTGTATGCATGGTATTATTGTAATAAGTTATTGTTGAATGTTCAAAAGACCAAATGTGTTATTTTTCGCTCCAAGGGTAAAAAGCTTCCAGATGGCATTACTTTTCTTAATGTTGGAGGCCATGATGTTGCGCTTAGTGAAAATGTTCAGTTCTTAGGGTTAACCATGGATGAGCATTTATCTTGGAGAAATCATTTAGATGCTGTATGCACAAAGTTGTCCCGTAGTGTAGGTGTCATTTTTAGATTAAAATTTATTTTACCTGAAAGAGTGCTGATAACATTATATAATAGTATTATTCTTCCTTATTTGACATATTGTAATGTTGCTTGGGGAAACACTTTCAAGTCATATCTTGATAAGTTGAGAGTATGGCAGAAAAAGGCAATACGGCTTATTACTAATTCTTATTATAGACATCCAAGTTCTCCACTGTTCCTTCGACTAAGAATGTTACCACTAGGTGGACTTGTGTCATTCAATTGCATATTGTTTATGTTAAATCTTAAGTCTATGCCTCATGAATGTACGTTAAAAGATTTATTCCGTCAGAACTCGCAAATTCATAATTATAATACACGTCAAAGGTATCTTATTCGACAGCCTTTTGCAAAAACAAATATCACTCTGACCTCTTTCCATATCTCTTGCATTAAAGAATGGAACAGTCTGCCTGATGATATAAAAAATAGTACAACTCTTTCTAGGTTTAGAAGTTTATCTAAAACGTACCTGCTTGAAAGACTGACATAGTTTTTATTTGCATCTTAGTAATTTCTTATTCTGAAATGCTTTTTGACCACTAAGGACCTACTCGTCAGTGTGTTTGCTGTGTATGGGCGTGTGTGCGTGTGTGTGTGTGTGTATGTGTGTGAGAGAGAGTATTCGTATGTTCTATATTCTGTAGCTTAGTATTTACATCCATTATATACTCATACGTAACATTCTTTTTACTGTAAATTTATGTATTTTGTTGACTATAGGGCCCCGCTCACAAGCTTAGCTTCTAAAGGGGTCCTAAAACCATTCAGTTTATGATGTAATCAAGTTAGAATATGTTGATTGATGTACTATTACCAGTCTCTTTTTTATGTAACAGATTATATCATGCTTTGTATGGTTTTGAATAAAATGAACTGAACTGAACTGAACAAAATTAGAATTTTATGGAATTATAGGGGTTCCACTTCAGTGGTTCGTCAGTTACTTGTTACATAGAAATCAATATGTGGTGATCGATGGTGTCAAATCTCAACAAATGGATGTATCCTGTGGAATTCCTCAGGGATCTGTGTTAGGGCCCCTCCTTTTTCTCGTCTACATAAATGATATAGTTAAATGTTCTTCCATTCTAAACTTCTCTTTGTTTGCTGATGATACCACTGTTTCATTATCACATACAAAATTGACAATCTTATTTCATCAGCAAACAATGAACTAGACAAATTAAATAAATGGTATGCTTGCAATAAATTGTTTTTAAATTTTGACAAAACTAGGTATATTATTTTTCGTGCGGGAGGAAGGAGGGTTCCGTCAAATCTGTCAAACCTCATTATTGGTGGGAATGTCATAGAAAAGGTCGAT